GATGAAAATTAAAGCAATGTAACCATAACCAATAATTATAAATTCTAATAAAGCAATACATGTTATTTCAAAAATTTTAAAGTAGAAAATTTTGTTAAGAAAATTTATTATTTAAAAATACTAAAAAAAGTTTTAAAAAATACATGATTATGTAAAAAATATTTAGAAAAATAATATAATTTTATCAAATGATAAAATTTTATTATTTTAAAATGAAACAAAAGAAGTAATTTAACCATGAAATATTATGTATGTTGTAATAAAGCACCACCAGCTTTATAAACATTTTATTATTTCCAAAATTTTAACTTATATATTATGTGGACCGGAAAGTAATGTCGTTTCTGTGTATTTGATATTTGTTATCAAGATTACATTTTTTTATCAATATTCTATTCATCCTCGTTAGCAAAACCCTTTCAATGCCAAATCGCAGTTGAATCGAAAAAAATTAATTAGTTTATAAAACAAACTAATATTTAATGCGCCGAAACGACATAACTTTTTGGTCCCACTAATAGAAAAAAAATATTATGATTTGAAAGAAAAAAAGAGACGGTAAATCTGGCCCCAATTATATTCAAAACCCAAATAGGACACTAAATTTCTATAAATTGTGAAATTCCATAAAAATATCTAGTAATTGTTTTAGTACGTATACTGTTTAGTACAGTCAGTGAAAAAAAATATACGAACATTGTAAAAAAACCTAATGGCAACATGCACGGAATATTTTTTTACAGAACATACTAGCAAATTCATTATATTCGTTCAATATAGCCTGCAGCAAAGTCTTTTTAACTTTTGCCTTTTTGCAAACTCTTTTTGCCTTTTCCCAGGGGTTAGAAAACCGTAAGACTACCATTGGTAAGATATTATTTGCTGATGACAGCGTTGAAGTGCTCTTTTGCTCTGATCACAGATGATAAATCAAAAATCGTAAGCTTCAAATGGGGATCTTTGAGCTTATGAAAGAAGTTGTAGTCACAAGGACTCATGTCAGGTGAGTACGGAGGGTGTTCAATCATTTCTATAGGCCAATGAAAACATTCACAGTCAAGAACTTAAATTTTGGACCCCTCTAACGTAAAAAGTGTTAGAGTAACGTATGATTCAATTAAATAGTTTCTCCTGTCACTTTTTAAAATATCGATGTATTGATGAAATTCAATATTATATTAAATAATCACAAGTACAAAATAGAAAAGAAATTTCACATTTTCAGATTTAATTTTTGGGAACTCGTGCGCAAAAAAATTGTAGAGTAGCGTATAATTTAAGTGAAATAGTTTCAATTGTAGTTTTTTTTTTTNTTTTTTTTTTTTTTTTTTTTTTTTTTTTTTTTTTTTTTTTTGTCAGATACACTGTAAAAAAATCTTGGTGTACAGTTGCCACTGTTTTCGGTGTGTTGAGATAAACAATTTTACAATTGTAGTTACAATTTTTTAATTTACTTTTTCAATGTTATAGTTTTATTTAGTTATTTATTAATTTCTTTTATTCATTGACAGTATTATTTTTATGATTATTAGAATTCTTTTAAGGCTTTTTTGCGAAAACATTTCGTTTAAAAAACATGTATATTTTTTGTAACATATTTGCACTAATTCTTTCAATCCATTGCTCATCATGCTTGAAAGTATTAAACATTTAAGCAGAATTTTAATTAATCACATTTTTCATACTTTTTTCATTATTTTGGTGTGAATTTAGGTGAAAATAAGTGGAAAATACTATCTTTAGCATTTTAATAATTTATGACTATGAAATACAACATAAACCACCGTTGTCTTTTTCTGTGTTAAAGGTTCAAAACAATATTTTTCTTAAAATTTGCAGTTGTTTAGATATAAAAGAAACAGTTACTCATCAATGAATTTCTTTAATCTACAAAATTAATTATTGATAAGTTTTTGAATAAGAATGGAAAATTCTTAACCTAATTTCTTAAACTTAATATTCTAATGCAAATATAGTTCAGATAATCGAACACATTTTTTTAGTTACCTTTAGACTGTTTCTTTTTATAATTGCAAAAACACCAAAAAATTTTTTGTTTGCAATTAAGAGTGTCAGAAAGAAATATATAAAAGGTACACCGATGTTCCGTCTGCGTCAAAGTGTTAATAATACTATTTTTAAGTTACTTGTGGAATGAATTTAACGTTTAAAAGAATTTTTTTCTCAAGCCTAAAGAAAAAAAAGCCATTCAGAAAAAATTTCGGTTTTTACCATAATCATGTGGGAAATGAAGTTTCTTAAAACTACCGTTCTATTCAGATTTTCTTCTATAACTTTAGAAAATGAAAACCTAATAGACCCGCAAAATTTATGAAGTCTATTTTTCAAACATTTCACATTTTAAACGAAAAAGAAAACTTTCACATCATGGTACTAATATTACCATCAGCGGCATTTTGCTCATCGTCGGTGGTGCTGAGGTAATCTTCAGTGTCTATGCAATTAATGTCAATGTCCGTCAAATCTCCAGCAAATTCAATTAATTGATCACTATTTACGCTAGAATCATTTTTGCATTCATCATCATCGTCATTATCTTCATTAACATCATTATCATCACCTACTGCGTCGTTCAATATCTCCATAAATTCTCTGTCATCGCCAGAACTGCTATCACTATCTGAAGTACTGTTACACGCTTTGAAATTATCAAGTAGATGAAAGAAAAACTTCTTTTTGTTAGCAAGAGAATAACCATATCCATCCTCAGAAAATTCCTCATCTTCAAGATCCCGCTTTAAAGAGTCGACTGATTTTCTTGAAAGCGGCGAAAACCATTTCAAATTGTTTTTCACGTTGTTCCAGTTAGGATATTTTCGGTCTATTTCATAAAAAATAATTCTACTTCCTTCCTCGGACAGGAACAATTCATTCTTAAATTCCTTGATTTCTTTTGAAGAATCCAAGCACCAGTGTAAAAGATGCATAGCAAATTCGAAGTAATAGCGATCTACTAAACTTGCTATTTGTCCCAGGCATAATTTTTTAAAATTTGCAACTATCTCCGTAGAAAATGAGCTGTATTTTAAAAACTCCTCAAAAAAATTCTACCCGTTTTCACCGGACTAACCTAATCCTTGTAATAATTGTATGCATGCCGTAGAATTACGTACGTATGATTGTTTAAAATTATTACTTTCCTCTACACTACACTTTTAAAACACCAATTCATAAATCGGTCAATAAGTCCAAAATCACCCAAGCATACTAATGATGTGCATATTGAAAACTTATTAAGTCTATTTTTCTTAAAGCTTTCAATCTCTTCAGTAGTTTGAATAACCCACTTTAACATTTCGTCTACTGCTTGAAAATTCTTGCCAAGAATCCATTCATGGTACAGTCCGTCTCCATACTTCTGTTCCAAACTTTCTTTGAAACGTTTGATATCACAATCTGACGGAAGAGTATTTTTTGCCAAAGAATCAAGCAGAGTAAATTTACTTAGATATAGAAGCTTCCGCAGCTCTTCACTTCCGATTAGGTTAAATATTACTTCCTTTTTATCATTGGCTGAGAAACTACTTAGTACTAAATTGATTGTTTCCAAGTCTTCAACAGAAAGCAAGTTACGAATGGCGTGACATCTATTTACAATGACTGGCA